ATTTTTAGTTGTCCAAATAATTTCTTTCTATTTTTAGCAGAGACAGGGTCTCACTCTTGCTCAGGCTGGTCTCGAACTCCTGAGCTCAAACGATCCACCCACCTTGGCCTCCCGGAGTGCTAGGATTACAGGTGTGAGCCACCACGCCCGGCCGCAAACTCCTGTTAATGTTGGTATTTTGACCACCTTCTGTAAATCACATATGTTTTTAATGACATCTAGAATGGTGAACCCTTTCCAGAGGTTTTCAATTTACTTTGCCAAGATCCATCAGAGGAATCACTACCTATGGTAGCCATACCCTTATGAGATGCATTTCTTAAATAGTAAGACTTGAAGGTTGAAATTACCCTTTGATCCATGGGCCACAGAATGGATGCTGTGGCAGCAGGCATGAAAACAACATTAATCTCCTTGTACGTCTCCATCAGAGCTCTTGGGTGACCAGGTACATTGTCAATGAGCAGTACTATTTTGAAAGGAATCTGTTTTTTTCCTGAGCCGTAGTTCTCAACAGGAGGCTTAAAATATTCAGTGAACCATGTCTAAAACAGATGTGCTGTCATCCAGGCTTTGTTGTTCCATTTCTAGAGCACGAGCAGAGTAGATCTAGCATAGTTCTTAAGGGCCCTAGGATTTTCCAAATAGTAAATGAGCATTGGCTTCAACTTAGTCACCAGCTGCATCAGCCCCTAACGAGAGAGTCAGTGAGTGCTTTGAAGTTCCTCTCTAGCTACGAAAGTCCTAGATAGCATCTTCTTCCAATAGAAGGCTGTTTCTTTCCTTTATTTTTTTTACCACCACAATGAATTGGATAAGGAAGGCTGTTTCACTTACATGTAAAATCTGTTGTTTAGTGTAGTCACCTTCATCAATGATCTTAGGTGTATCTTCTAAATAACTTGCTGCAGCTTCTACATAAGCACTTGCTGTTCCACCTTGCACTTTTTTCCCCCTCAGATCTCTTAGGGATGAAACCTTACACTTTCACGATCTGGAGACTTCATCTTTCCTTAAACCTCTGCTAGCTTCAAGCTTTTTTTCTGCAGCTTCCTCACTTCTCTCGGCCTTCACAGTATTGAAGAGTTAGGGTCTTGCTCTGGATTGAACTTCAGCTTAAGGTAATGTCGTG